GATCCACCTCTACCACCACCTGCGGGGAACCCTGCTTCTCGTCCAAGGTTTCTTGACTGGTCAAGGTTCGATGTGCAAGTCAGTCTACAGAACTTACATAGCCTTGACCCACGCGTTAACTACCGAGCGTGGTAACACGCGAGTGTCGTAAATTACACCTGCGGTGGTTCCACGCCAAAGAGCTTAAGACGAGACTCATCTTAACCAAGTCTGTTCTGGGCAGCGCTCAGCTGAATTTGATGAAAGCGCGCGACGCACATGCCGGGGGCGCAGGGCTTGGCAGACACCCGGACATACTGCCACGCCGTCTACTGCACTACTTGGCAAGTTTAATGATGAATTCGAATGCGACTCGATGTTTTACAAACAGGAACCCAATACATTTTCACATAGTCAATCGCTTCATTCGATGCGGTGCCGGAACCGAGATATACCAGACAGAACCATGACCAGCATCTTAGACGCGCGCCAGCAGTGTCGGGTGCAATTCGGACCCGCCAAAGTACTGCACTCCGACTGGGAAGGCGCATTTAATAACGACACCGTAAAGGCAGTCCTTAAGGCACAAGGCACTGAGCTGAGGATACGCGCGCGGACAACACACTACGACCATTGAGGCCAGAAATGGTATATGACGACACCTTCTTTACGTCATGGAGGTTGAATTCAACAGGTTAGAGATGCAATTTGTGTTCACCCGTCCATTGCATGGGGCTTTGTTTGCCGCCAGCGCGTGTACTTTCTAGAATGAGGTATCTCCACACAACGCACTGTTCGGCCGACAACCAGCTACGCGATCCGACTTGCCTGTTCTGGGCCACAAATGGCAGACGGAGACATCCGACCATACTCGCGAACAGATTTCCGCCGGGCAAGCATTGAGGCCACCACTCAAGCTACTGCAGTAGCGAAGACGAACCGTGCACTACGGACCAAGACGACCATCACTGGTCAGCATTACTATGACGAAGGAGATTTGGTTGATTATCATCGCCCCACTACTACGACTGGGGCGGCTGGAATGGACCTTTCCCGGTCGCGCGGAATGACCCCGACAGGGGCCGAGTCGTCACAAAAGTTCGGGACCGCGATGTACAAGTCCAGCTCGGTGAAGCACGACATTCGCTGTACATTGAAGCTCTGATTACACGAGAGATTAGCTCGGACAACACAGCATTACGGACTGTGTTGGCATTAGTGGCCAGTCTACCTTCGGAGCGACCTGCCACGACTTTTGGATACCTCCCGACCAAAGAGGGAGTACTCCAGATGACGAGCGCGACCCGACTATCTCCCAAGGTACCTTTAGCTCCTCGTCAGGAATTTCTTTCGCATTGGAAACGTAGTTTATGTCCGGTTGGCCAAGAGCATTCACGAGTTACCTCCGGTGACATACGCTGACAGTAACACCTTGGTGCATTATGTGATAACGACGTGGATCCATACTTCCACTACTACGAAGCCGAAGACGCCGCCCTAAATATTCAAGATATAACTGGATCAGCACACTCAAACATCATCCAGTACCTGAAGCCCACCAAACCTCAGGCGGGCTTCGATCAAGATGTGACGAAGTTCGAAGAACTGGCCGACATGCCTATATAGGGCAACGACGCCAGGGAGGCCCCAGGAATCGAACAACCACAGGAAGACCGACGGCTTCCCACGATCTACGAGGCATCAGAGGTGGACCTCGAGGCACATTATGGAAGTGCGGTGTGCGACACACAGAACTAAAACACGAAAGGGAACTATCGGAGGCAACTCCAATAGACGAGCTCGACACTGCACCCACACAGATAATCACTGGCAACAATCTGCTAGTCACAGAGCTGAAGAACAGCGGGGGCACCTGCCTACGCGGGGTAACCCACAGGACACAGACACAACCGAGACAGATCATGTCCCATTTCTGTGTCCCACGGACGAAGATGACAGCTACGGATTGGTTTTTGACGAACATGGACACTACGTAGAACTCTGCTTTACGGCAGATATGTAAAATGTAGTCTCATCCAAGCAAAAGCGCAGAATATTGGACTTCGACCGCGCGACAATTATGTGAGTGTACGTAGCCGCTGCAGCTACACGAGTTGCAGTCGTCAAGGAGGACGACCTCCTCACGAGTGCTGATATCCAGGCGAATCCAGTCAAAGTATCGAAGACGCTATATACTGAACCCGAGACATGGTTTGATAACACATGTTTCAAGATAAAGTACACATTCAAAGCGTCAAACATCACGACTTCGAGGCGCGCATCTAAACGGAAGTTCGCGAAGAACGAGAAAGGGCGAGATGGAACGCACCAGCAGACTACGCTCGGCACTTCGGGGCCCCATGGACCTCGAAGCCATCGACGCGGAAACTTCCCCAGGGACAGCGCGGCGGCCATGCCGGCGACTACTCGCCAGCGCGGCAGCGCGCAGGAAGCAGTCGACCATTGCTTCCCTCGACATCAATATGGTTTTCCTGAAGGGATTTCCTTGCCAGGAGCTCGCAGAAGCCACGGGTGAGAAGGCGCGCGCGGCGCGCTTCACACTGCCACCTAATACAGCATCCGCGCGCAGACCCCCCCCCGGGATTCGAGCACTGCGACGAGCGGGAGGCGCTGTTTACAGCGCCTCAAAGCTGGCACTGGCACCAAGGATGCACTACGAGCCCCCTCACTGAAGCCCAGGAAGACCACCAGAGGGCTTGGTCTTACACCCGCGTCCCACGACGGAGAGTTCGAGACAAGCTCGAACCTTCTAACGGCCAAGCATGTCGATGACATAAACATGGTCGGCACTGAGGACACCGTTGACAAGTGCGTCAAGTGCGCCGAGGATACGTTTGGTAGATGTAAACTCAATAAAGACACATTACTAATTGCGCCTTGAGATACGCAGAGGACGGCGACGGCAATGTTACAGTTGATCAAGACGGATACGTAAAACAGCACCGTCCGATCTAGCATCATGAACTCACGGGCGCAGATGCTGAGGCCAAGGCATCAAAGATGGTTGCTGACATGTTTGTTAGCTTCAGAGGCGTTTTGGCTTACGCGCTGATCACACAAGCGCGGTTCATGCTGCATGCGGAATCACTACAGCGCGCCCAAGGACCGACCAACATGCAAGTGCGACGACTGAACGCGATCACCAGGAAGTTGCAGGCCTGCCCGAAGAAGATCGCCTATCAAGCGATGACTCCAACGGGCGAGGTCGACCTGCACAGCGACTCCAGCTACAGGCGTCTGAGTGGACATGCCGATGACGAAGTCAAAGGCTACGGCACTCGCGGGGCAAACCTGCTAAGGCGTGGACACACGCATGCTAGCAAGCCCGTCGTCCATCTTGTCGACGCATATTGCAAGTCTCGTCGCTTGCAGGTCCGCTCGAAATACTCCGCGGAAACACTTGCAGCAGCCCACAATTTGGAGGACTGCTATCACGCGACCGTCACTCTGCGCGAACTCCACGCAGGGCCGCTGACAGCACTCAATTGAAGGATATACTTGAGATGAGCGGCCTGAGCATCAAGGTCACTTTGACCATCGGTGCAGAATCAGTCTTCAAGACCTCGTGAAGCAAAAGCCTGAAGAAACCGACTGCGTGCACACGATGGGGACACATCAGTTGGAGACGACAAGTGATGGAGCGAGGCACCGCGCACTGTGTACAGTGGTGTGACACTCGCGATATGACTGCGGACGGCCACACTAAATGGAGCATCGACAGAGACATGCTCCTACAAGTCATGGGAGGAACGCAATGCTTCAAGCATGACCTCAAACGACACACTCCATACAGGGTTGGCCAGACAAGATCGTCTGAGCCGCCTGGGGAGTAGCTATCCGCTGGGCAACTTCCATGCGAAGTAACTTGCGTGCAAGGTAGTTTGCATGTGGGCCAACGTGCCTTGTTGAGCCCGCCTGCTGCTGTCTACCTTGTGTACTAGAGCGTTATGGTGTATAGTTTGCGGCGGACTCATGTTTCGTCTCCTTTCCCCCCGATTCTAAAGGAGGTTGGGCAAAGGCGAGAGGTAGCGAGCATTTGTCCGCGGCCGTTTGTTCTCAAGCGGCCGGCCGCCAACATAGCGTTTCTTGGAGGCGTCTTGGATTTTTAGGCGCACCCGAAAGGGGTCCGGGAGTGATGTTCGGAGTCTTGAAAGCAGAGTTCGGGGGAAAGGGTTCCAGGACCTTTTCGGTTCCCCCATCAGGGGGCGAGAGCACTGAAGCAGCACCAAGTTTTTTGTTTGGTCGGCGATCTCGGACATCGGGACACGTCATGCGCAACACCCAAAGACATCCGACAATTGGGCACCTGGACCCGTGTAGGAGCACGTACAGCACCCAAAACAGAGAACTCGAAGGAACTTGAGGACAGTGCCTACGGCACGTTGGCGGATATCAATGACTCCAGCGGTGGCGCAAGCAACAGAACCAGTGTGGCACGAAGATGATCGCTTGGCGCTAAATAAGAATGCCCTTGCTGATACCAGGGAGGCGCTGGAAAGAAGTTCGTAGCGCCCCGCACTTGCGGGTAAGAGCGGGGGGGGCGATGCCCACAAGTGGCAGACCCTAGTCGTGCCCAAACATACTGTCCCTTTGCACTCCTCCCAAATACTGCCCCCAAGTGTTGCCCGCATGTGCTGCCCACACGTACTGTCATCAGGTACTCTCCCCATGTATGGATTCCATGTACTGCACCCGCGTATTGCGCCCAAGCACTGCCCCCACGCATTGCCCCCAAGCGTCGCCCCCATGTATGGCCCCCCAGTATCGCCCCCTTGCATTGCATTCGAGTATCGCTACCAGAGAAAGGGACCTCCATCCAGCCACGCGCGCGCAGAAAAGAAGTAAGACCGCCTGGCCCCCGTCACCTGATCCACGAAGCCTCTGAACGATCGCCGGGAGAATGCTGGTTTTTCTTACGCGTACACACAATGTTGGTTGGCAACAAGCGGTGGTTAGTCACAGAATTCTGTGACGAGAATGTGTTTTGTGCTACCGTGAAGGCATTGTCGTTGCTCAGGGATGCGATGGATACGGTGGAGCCCAGTCTCACGATGCACAACCCTGCAATCAGTGCGTGTGAGACAGGCGGGCAGTGGGAGTGGGCATTGTCGTTGTTCAACAGGTTGCCAGAGACGCAGCTGGAGCCAGATATCATCAGCTACGATGCTTGCATCAGCGCGTGCGAGAAAAATTGTCAGTGGCAGCATGCACTGGTGCTCTTGAGAGTAATGGAAAAAACGACGTTGTGGGTCAACACCGTGGGTATGAAAAGAGAAATTGGCGCATACGACGCAGGGGGAAAGTGGCAGCAGGCGTTGTCATTGATCGGCGATTGGCGGGAAGCAAATCTGGAGATGGACACCACATTCTACAATATCGCGTTGCGGATGTGCGCAAAGGGTGAGCAATGGGAACACGCATCCCGATTGTTCTCCGCAATGAAAGCAGGAGCGGTGGAGCCCGATACCATCAGCTACAGCACCATGATCAAACTTGATCTTGGTGCGGCTCTTGGGGCTGTACGTGTCAGCTCCGTCGACACGCCGTAGTTGGATGATTCAAGAAGCGCGAGATTCTGGGCGAAAGGTGATGGCGCATCTGGTTCTTCGGTTATTCCTCCATGTGCAACTAGCAGGTGTACATAGCAACCACGTCATGTGAATTAACACCACTTGTGGTGAGTTCTTTTGCTCGTCTGTCGAGGTTCATCAGGGCACGGCGAGCAATTATGCGTGTCAAAAACATGTTGCGATACTTGGCCGTAATACCAACGCAATCTCAGCACCAGATCCAAACACGGAGAAGACAGATCAACAGCTCCAGCATCTCCGAGCTCGGACTCTCCTCGTAAATATGGCCGCGATTGGAGCCAAAATGGGTGTGGTTTTTTGCGCTAGCGTTCCTTATCACAAGACACTGCAAGTAGGAAGGGCTGCAGGTGCAGGAGAAGAAGGTCAAGAGGAAGACGCGGAGCAGGAGGAGGAGGAGGAAGCGAACAATAGCAAGATCATGGGAGTGGGAGGGAGGGTGAGCACGAGGCGGAGGAGGAGCGCCCTGCACCAAATTAGCCTGGCGAAGGACCCAACCACATGCAGTTGTGAATACCACAATTGTGAATATTTTCTTCGGTGGCGTTCCCTATGGGGCCACGAACCGTACGAGGGGTGTGCCGAATTGTGTGGCGGGGTACACAAAACGAACGAAAACGATAGGTCGAATTACGAAAGACCGAGCGCAGGTGAATCAGGGCGCGATTGAGTCTGATTGTACACTACTCTGCGTGCGCGTGAGTCTATTTGCATGAATGCGTGGATGGCTACGCCTGGCGCGCATGTAAATATGAATGGTTCGGGTACGCCTGACTCTGAGTGCTCGTGACATTGAGCGTGGCCGCTGCAAAGAGCTTCCCCGGGAACCCCGACGGCAGTGGCCGCACGCCGCGACGCCCATGTCGGCACGCCCCCCACAAGGATCGCGCCCGCTTCCTTTTTCTTGTTCGTTTTTTGCCCGTGCACTACAATGTCCAAGGTTGCGGGCGGCGCCCAGCGCGAAGTCCCCGCGACGCGCGCCGGTTGCCCCGAAGGGGTCCCAGCGACGCGCGCGGGTCATTTGCTGTGCGGAGCAAAAAGAGCTAGCTGGCGAATTGATGGCGGGAAGAGTTCTGGTCGTTGGGCACAGCGACGACGGCCGAGCGAGGCGTTGGGCAGACCGCAGCGCGGAGTTCCCGCGACGCGCGCTGGTCGCCCCGAGATGGCCCCAGCGACGCGCGCGCGCGTCGTCCGCGGCGCGAGGCCAAACTGTTGGACAGCTGAGAGAAGGCGCGGTTCGGGCGGGTCGCTCCTCAGGTCAGGCCTCGCGGATATTCTTGGTGAAGCCCAGCTCCCTGGCGAGGGCCGCCGCCTCCCTCCTGCACCGCTTCGCACGCGCAGGAAACTGCCCAGGCTGCTTCCGCGAGCCCCCCGGTGGCCTTGTTAGGTAGAACTCGACGCGCGGCGCCCGCATGAGCAGGAGGTCTTCTTGGCGCGTGGCGCGCGAGAGCAGCGCGTGGAGCTCCAGCCAGCAGTTGTCGTCTGCCTTCTCGCCGTTCCCGACCTCGTGGCGGCCGCAGTCCAGGATCGCGCCTGGGCGACGTCGGCGGGGGGGGCTGCGCGCCGGACCGCCGACGGCCCAGGGCGAGAGTCCACAGGACCGAGAGGAGGTCTTTGCGCGGACCGCTCGAGCCCAGAGGGTTCGGCCGTAGACTGCCCGGGGGCGCCGTTCCCCCGCCTCGTCGCCTTCTCGCACGGCGCGCCCCTGGCACGCCACCACGGCGATTACCCTGCCGCGCGAGAAGAGCTCACGTCCGCCAGGTGACCTCGGAGGCGCGGAAAGTGAACGGTCCCGACGCCGCGGGGTTCGATGAACACCAGCGGGCCCACGCGGCCTCCCGTGAGGTTGTCGTCGCGGCGCGTCAGGTCGCCCAGAAAGGGCACGCTCGCGCACTTCTCCGTGCGCCCCCAGGACCCCGGTGGCAGGTTTCTCCCCGTCTCTCTCGGCTTTCTCGACGTCGTCCCGACCCCGAGGGTCCACGACGACGCGCGCGATCTGCCCTTCGGCATCATCCTTTACGAGGCCGTTCTTGAGGTCGAGCGCCTCCAGGAGCCGGATCCGCATGCCCACGCGCACCGGGAGGAGTCCGCGCACGCCACCGGCGTTCTTCGGGCTGACACAATTCATCATCACGTCGGCGCCCTTGACATTCATCGGTGAGGCAGACCTATCGACAGCTTGCACGAGGAAGAGGCGCTTTCCCAGAACGTCCGCGCCCCGCTGCGCCCGCGCGTTCACCCACCGCGCCACGGTGTCCCAGCCGGACCCAATCATGCGTCCATTCTGGAACCTCTCCTCCCGGAGCCGACGACCATCGGGCTGCTGCATGGCATTCCACGCGACCCGGATGGATGGCCGGAGGGGCCCGCTTCCCCGGTTTTCGCGGGAGCGCCATGAGATCCCGGAGTTTCGCATCTTCGAAGCGGCTGGACGCCTGGAGCTCGAACTCGAAGCACAGCGGCGCGCTGCAGGACATCTTCATCGCGGCATGGTACTCTGGAGCGAGGTTGATGCCCGCCGCCGCCAATTTCGCGAAGCTGGAGATGAGCGACACCTTGCCCCCCGTCGGCTTCAGCTGCAGGAAGTCCCCCAGGTGGGTTACGATGGGCGTCTGGCCGACGGCGCCGCCGACCTGGTCGCGCCCCCGCTCCTCCGCGCCCCGCTCAGGTAGGGCCGGAAAGCCAGCAGGTTGTACAGGTTGGGCGAGATCATGTTCACCTCCGCCTGGATCAAGCACTTGACCGCCCCCCGCGTGTCCCGTGGCGCTTTCAGCTTGCCCCCCGCGGGCATGCCCCTGTCACTGAAGGACTGCGCCCCCATGACTCCCGCCCGGCGGCAACCGACGGCCCTGCGAGGGCCCGTGGAGACGTTCGCGGCCTGAGACCACTTCGCGCAGATTATCAACGTGGATTTCGCCTTGCCCAGTTCCGCGGGGAACAGCGCGCCCATGGCCGGCGGCGCGGTGCCCCGCGCCATGGCGGCGTTCCCGCTGCCGCGCTGGCCGCGGAGCAGGAACTGGAACGTATTCCGCTTCGCGCGCTCGGCCACGCCACTGCCCTCGATCTCCGGCCCCTCACCCCGCGCCGCGTTGCAGGCATTCGCGAGCGCCGCGACGATCTGGGCCTGGTCGCGCTTCAGAAGGCGGCGCACCTGCTTCCCCGCTCTCGGGCTGGCCGCGCCGTCCTCGATTTTTTTGGCGAGGCACTCGACGAAGTCGCCGGGCCGCCGCAACCCCCCCGACAGTTCCCACCACGCTTGCGCCGCCTCGGCCGGCATCGCGCCAGCGCCCGTTGCCCCGGCGCCCTCCGGCGCGGGGGCGTCGTCCACGGGCGCGCCTGTGTCCTTCGCGCCCCCCCTGGCGAACCTCATCCGCCGGGCCTCCACCGGGCCCTTCAGCTCGTCTGCGACGAGGTCGCGCAGGGCCTTGAAAAGAGCGAGGACGCCTTCCTTCAGGGCGCGGGCTACGCGCCGCGACGCGTCGGCGTCAGTCGGCCCGGGCAGCGCGCCGTTCTCTGTCATCGTGGTGGCCATCCTGAGCTCCTTCACGAAGGCCTGCTCGCGCTCTGCGGCGTCGAAGCGCAAGATCTGCCCGAGCCTCTCAGGGTCACAGCGGCGCCCCAGGACCGCGCTGGCGGCCAGCTTCGCGAGGCCGCCCTGGTCGCTGACGCCCTGGGCCTCCACCTGCGCGTCGCCCTTCTGCGGCCTCTTCGGCTTCGAAGCCTTCGCCCTGGAGATGCCGTCGAAGTTGGCCGCGGCCTTCGCTGTCCCCGGGGCCAGGTACCACTGCGCCGCCAGCACCCCTGCCCAGCCAGTTGCCCAGCCCCGTGCACTGGGCGCACCGGCACGGAGGCTGCACATCCTTGCCGCGGTCGTTGCGCTCTCTCGCAGCGCGGACTCGACCTCCCCAGTGTTCCAGATGCTGGGAGTCGCCCACGACCCGACGGCATTCCTGAGGCACTTCGCCCGGGCCGTCTTCGCCAGTTGCTCCTGGGCGGTGGCGAACGACCCCCGGCCGCGCTGGAACGGGCCCGAGACACCCTCCCCCGCCAGCTGCGTCGGCCACTCAGGTTCGCCCCGCGGCGCCGCGCACAGGTGCTTGCACTCACGGGCGTAGCGCAGCTCTTTCGCGTCGCTGGGCCCGTCGGCGCCCGGCAGGTGCACTGGTCGGAGCACCGCCGACTTCACGAGGTAGTGGGTCGCCACGCTCGACTCCGCGCTCACGAACTGGAAGCCGTCCGCCTTCGGGATGCGCGGCTCGACGGCCAGCCTTCGAGTCCAGTTCCGCGCCGCCGAGTAGGACGAGTCGAAGGCGACGTCGCCGCGCAGGGCGCGACCCCCGCTGCCCCCGGGCTCCAGCTCCCTGGCCGGAAGGGCGCGCGACGGCAGTTCCATACGGTGCACCCAGATGTTGTAGACGTACAAGCTCATGTCGCGGACAATTGGGTGGTCTCCGCGGCGCATCCAGTCGTAGTGCTGGCTCGGCACAGCGCCACTGAAGCTGCCCTGCGCGAGGCCCTCGACGGTCGGCCCTGGTGCCTCAGGCGCCCCTTCGGCCTCGCCTTCCTGCGTCTTTTTGAAACGCCTTCGTCACGTCGCGCAGCGAGCCGCCGCTGGCGTTGGCGATCTGGAGCGCCTGGCTCGCGCGCTCGATCGCGTCGAACTCCTCGCCGTCGGGGCTGACGTGTACCGCCTCGACCTCGCGCTGCACCTCGCCCCACCCCGGCGTCGCGACCTGCTGTCCAGCGTCGGGGGCCGCGCGCGCGATCGAGGCGGCGGGCGGGCTTTCCGCGGCGTCGGCCTGGCCAGATCGCCCGCGCCAGGACTCTTCGGCGAAGTAGATGGATTCCCGCGCGAACACCTTCCAGCAACGGTGCGCCATGAAAGTCGGTGCCCGAAGAGCATGGGAAAGACCATGTTGCTGCCGCTCTTCCAGGAGGCCCTGCGGGAGCAGGTCTCGACG